ACAATTAAAGGCTAATCAGTCAACCCAAAACCCAAAATATGTCCCAAGGACAAAATAATAAGGCCATTGAGCCCCAGGCACATAACCGTGCTAAATAATTTACAATTCATTTAAAATAAAAATTCCATGCGTATTGTGTGGCTCATCCATCAGTCAGCCAGTTATGTGTCATGTCTAATCTTATTTTGAAAAACTGCAATAGAGCGAGTTTGCAAAACACCAACGGCTAAGTAGCAAGGGACTACTGTATATTAGTGCTGGGCAAAGACCAAAATTTTTAATTGCGACCAATCTCAAATACCCCTGCGATCAATTTTTACGAGTGGGCTTAAGACTTTCCTTTTTGATAAATTCTATAATTAGGGTTGACTTGCTATGCTGCTAAAGGCTTAGACTACTGGAGGACTACCAGAGTACTAGAGGACAAATTGACCTAATTTCCTTAAATGAATTATTAAAATTTAATAGTTTTCATTTGATATTTCTACAGTATATTAACAAGTGAATCTTGACCTGCCATTGTGTATCTGTTCCTCTCAAACCCAGCTGGTTGAAGCAGATGGCCGCTTGTCCTGAGTCTGGTTCTGCTAAAGGTTTCTTCCTCATGAGGGAGTTTTTCTTTTCCACCGTCGCCTTCATGCTTGGTCAAAATGAGAGTTCTGTGATGGAGTTAAATTCAAAGCAGTCTGCTTCTCAGATAAATAAGGTTAAATTATATATAATATATATATGAATGTTTCTGTTCAGGGCCCTAAGATGACTTCTGTTGTGACTGGGCACTACATAAACTGAATTTAATTTATCCTGATGCATGCTCAATAATCCAGGTAGAAAAATTTGCAAACTGAGGTGTACCGCAAACCCACCCACACAGACCAGTATTTGCAGTTTGACTCCCATCACCCTTTGGAGCCCAAGTTAGGAGTCATCAGGACTCTGTACCACCGAGCAGACAGCGTCCCCACTAACTCAGGAGCCAGGCAGAAGGAGAAATCCCACACAAGACAGGCTATAGAGCAATGTGGATATCCTAACTGGGCCTTCCTGAAAGCAGAGAAGAAACCCAAACAGGACTCCAGTCAGCCATCAAGTGAAAAAGAGGAACCCAGACCCAGACCAGTGGACATTCCATATGTTGTGGGAGTTTCAGAGAAACTGAGAAATTTATTTTTTAAACACAACATCCCAGTGGCTTTTAAACCACAAAATACATTACGGCAAAGACTGGTTCATCCCAAAGATCCAGTCCCCTGGCACAAACAGAGTAATGTTGTGTATGCTGTTCAGTGTCAGGAGGGTGATCAATCTTACATCGGGGAAACTAAACAGCCACTGGCCAAAAGGATGGCCCAGCACAGAAGATCAACATCATCAGGCCAGGACTGTGGTCTACACTCATCTCCAGGCCAGCGGTCACTCTTTCAGGGATGAAGATGTGCACATCCTGGATAGAGAGGAACGATGGTTTGAGAGAGGAGTAAAGGAGGCCATCTTTGTGAAAAGAAATCGTCCATCATTAAACAGGGGTGGAGGCCTCTGTGTTGAACTGTTCACCTCTTACAATGCTGTGATTGCTAGTATCACTCAGCCCTCTGTGAATAACAAACAGCCATCAGTGTGCTAATGATCCATTGTTAGGCTGATGGTCCTCCTTGACCATGTGAGCAGCTGGTTTTGGTTGTCAGCAGCAAACTGGTTGATCCACTACGAGAAGGTGCTATTTATAAGACTGAGCTGAACACAGCACCTCAGACTGAAGAATTGTTTCAGATGAAAGTCAAAACGTTTCTACTTTTATTTGTTTGTTTTGTTTTTTTGAATGTCCAGAGGACCAGATTTAACTTTTTTAGATTTTTCTACCTGGATTATTGAGCATGCATCAGGATAAAAACAATACTATCTTCTGTTCCTTTATCCTTCACCAGCATGTTC